GCAGATGCCCATGGAAGACAGAGGTGTCAAATTCCCTGGATCTGGAGTTACAGGTGATGGTAAGCTACCCAGTACAGGTGCTAGGAACCATGTTCAGATCTTCTTCAAGAACACTATGCATTCTTAGACACTGAACCATCTCATGAGTCCCTCAGGTACTTTTAAGGATGCTGTGATGAGTATGAGAGTGCAACATGGCATTTCCCATTGTGTTGAGAATATACCCTGTAGTGGGGTGACTGGAATATATTATCATTCTAGTTTTCTTTAATTAATAAACTCCATATTCTCTCCACTTATGTAAAACTGAAGCCTGGTGTTTGAATAGACATCTCCTGTTAAGTAATTTGGCTGACAAAAATGATGTAAAATTGATCTTGCATATGCATTCTTACACTTAGGAACACAATTCTCTAATCTGTTTACCTAAACAAGTTTATAAATATTAATAACCTACTTAAAATAGCTACTTCAGATCTATTTTTAAAGATTAAATTCTCACAATGTACTTATATACTTGTGAAAACATATTAAAATATCATAAATTTTACAAGAAAAAATATAAGAAATGTATCTGTTCTGGCAAAAAATAGATTTTCTTTTATAGAGAGCAATTAATGCACATAACATGGTTGATAGCACACAGGGGTCACAGCAACAACAGTAGCTGTTGGTTACTTTTATCCCTCAGCAGCTTAATAGAAAAGCACCTTCTGGCATTATTAAAACAGCATGGAAGATGGATGTTTCTAGCTCAGTTCCAGCTTAATTTTCGTGTGTCCTACAACAAAGCATGTGATATCTTCAATAGTAGGCCTACCCTATTTTCTAACATCACTTAGTTTGGGGGAAACCTCTCATTTCCCTTTATCCTCATCCTTTCTCAAAGCACTCTGCACATTTCCAAATATGTCCTTTTCAGAATTCTTTCTGAGGATTCCATAAATCTTATTATGTTTTATATTTTGAATACAATAAACCAAATATGTGTGCCTTTGCATGCATCCATCCATTCTTTCACTGAAGGTTAGAGGAGTTTTTTATTTTTTATGTCCGGTCTACATTTACTATGAATTTGACAGTAAAATTATATAAATCATTTTCAATAATTGTATACAATTCTTATATCTATTGAGTCAAATTTCTAAACCAGACAGAAGTGGAATGAACAAGTTTTTTATAAAAAGAACAGCTTGAAAATGTTTACATGGACTAAGAAGTATTTTACAATGGAACACTGACTTCAAAGAAAAATTGTACTTTTGTGTCATAATATTTCCCACAACAACAAGTTGTATTTTCCTGCTTTTTCATTTGTACACAACATTGAGTCATAGGATAGTCAACTCTATAATATTAGAAGTAATATTTGTGTGCCAGGTATAGGTGTATGATGTGAACTTGCTATTAAAAGTAATGTATAAATGCATGAATGAGAATTATAATTTAGTTATATAATTTTAGACAGATGTTGGGGCATATATCTGTATATATGTTTGTGTAAATGTGTGATGCATCTTGCCTTATAAACATTATTCATATGAAGTCTATGGAGTTGTGGAGATTTCTGGAACACTTGAAATGGGATTGAAATAAAAGGAAAGGAAGATTGTTTTAGAGATTATTTATGAAAAGTCGTACGTTTTAGATGTTTTAGGAGATGATTCTACATAGTGATGTGGTGTGCCCTTTTGAAACTGCTAATGCTTCAGAAACGCAAACACTTTCCTAATCCCGGCCTGCATCTCCTTGTTCTGAAAGCTGTACACAATTGGGTTTAATGTGGGTGTTACTAGGGTATAAAGTGCTGCCACCACCTTGTCCCGTTCGAAGGTGTAGCTGGAAGCAGGTCGGATGTAGGTGTAGATTACAGGGGAATAATAGAGGGACACCACCAGGAGGTGGGACGAGCACGTGGAGAAGGCTTTCTTCTTGCCTTCTGTGGTGCGGATGCGGAGAATAGCAGCAATGATAAAGCCGTAGGAAATGCAGGTGAGGGTGAAGTCTCCCACAGCCAGGGTGATATCAGCGACATACACCATTACCTCATTGACTCTCACGGGGCTGCAGGACAAAGCCAGCAGTGGGGGTATCTCACAGAAAAAGTGATCAATGGTATTTGGTCCACAGAAAGTCAGCCTCAGAATGAGACCTGTGTGCACCCAGGAATTGGTTATGGCAATAGCCATGACGATGCTAAGCAAGGCTGCACACATATGGTGGTTCATAATAGTACTGTAACGAAGAGGAAAGCAGATGGCCACATAGCGGTCATAGGCCATGGCAGTGAAGAGAACCATCTCAGCCCCCAGGGACCATGTGAAGAAGAAGAGCTGGGACATGCAGCTCCCATATGAGATGGAATTTTCTGATGTTAGCATAGTGACCAGCATCTTTGGTATGATGCTTGTGGTGCAGATGATGTCCACAACAGCCAGGGCCAAAAGGAGAACATACATGGGGGTGTGTAAGGTGGTGTTATAGATTATAGCAATGACAACGAGCATATTACCAAAGAAAGCCATAAGGTAGATGAAGCAAAAGATAATCAAGAGAATTCCCCGAACTTCAGATTTTTGAGTAAGTCCTAGAAACAAAAACTCTGTAACAAGGCTGTGGTTCATTCTGCATAAGTGGGTAAACAGTAGACTTTGCCAAGTGGGAATAATGGACAATTTTTCAGATAGTATTTGTGTACTATTGAGGTGATAATGTGATGTGTGTTAAGTATATGGTGTCTGATTATTGATGAGGTAGAACATTGCACCTTGAATCCCATTATGATGTAGTTCTGGTTTCCAGGCAATATCTGCTATCCTCCACATTCCATTCCGGTGATGTTTCTTCCACAGATGACTCAAATAAACTGACAGCAATGGTGAGAATAAAAATATAAAGAAAATCCATGTCATTAAGTATTCCATTATTATCATTTTTAGTTGAAATTTGTCTGCATATGATTTTCAATCACATTGTATGTATACATATATAAACACAAAAATGACATCTCTAAATAATTTGATCATTTGCATAATGATGTTTAAATGTCTTTCTCTGGCACATATATGAGCTGGATGATCTCAAAAAATAAAAGACAGCAGGAGTAACTAGGTGAAAATATTTCAGAGGAAAAATGCTCAGTACATGATCTCGATGGTATATGTTCTTGAAATCCTCAGCAATTTATTATACTCCAAATACTAAAAATATTTCAGCAAATGTTTGTTTTGGCATAGTTTTTCTGTTTGACAAATACACTGCTAAGTTGTGTGAAATAATTCTGTTGTCATATAATTGAAGAGAATTAGATTTTAAAAATATATAAAACCCAGGCTGTATCTGTTTCAATATGGATGTGAATTATCCATGTAACCTCTATAAGCTCCAGTTATCTCCTTCCAAAGTTTGAATAAATTGATATATACTCCTTAAAATGACCCAATGTTTCTTCAAGATAGTCATGGGTTCCCTTGTTTTTTATTTTTAAAAAATTATTTTTTTTCTTAATCATTATTTATTTATTTAAAAAATTTTAAAAACTACATTTTTGTTTTTTGTGTGTTAGTGTATTGCCTGCATATGTGTAAGTGTACCTGTGTCATGCAATGCCTGAGGAGACCAGAAAAGGGCGTAGGATCCCCTGGAACTGGAATTACAGATGGTTGTAAGCCACCATGTGGGTGTTGGGAACTGAACCTCTGTCAGCAAGTGGAAAAGATCTCTATTTAATTTTAGAATATATTGTTCCTTGCAAAAGGACTCATTGTTTTTGCTACTAACACTGAGATGTTGGCGCATGCATCTCTAATCTGTATGTATCTATAACTAGTCATAATCGGTTTCACTTGGATCCTTGGCACCTGTGTGTGTCTATAAAGTCATTGAGTAGATTTCAATGGTAACGTTTATCACCTCTACTAATTAACATGATGTAAATTTCCATGCTTCCTCCTCAAATATAATACATTTTTTAAAGTTTGCTTTTTGTGTGTGTGTGTGTGTATAAATATATATATATGTCACCCAGAACATTCCAAACCATCTTTTTCAACTATAGACCCACGTCCCAGATGGCACCCTCCCATAGCTTCCCTCCCCGCACCAGAGCCCTTATACTCTGATATCTCTGTTACTGTCCGCTGTGTTGTTGGCACTCCAGCCAATCCCCACTACTTGTCCATCTGGTGAATCTAGTCAGCCTATCTAGAGGTCTTTGTTTTAAGAGGCTCAGCTATTCTTCATCTAGCAGCAATCACTTGTCAATATTTCTTCAGATAAGATTGGGGTCTGCTGTTCATTTTCCCAGTTCTATGCTGGGTTGCTATCTGGGAGTCCCTTTGGCCACCCTGGCCAACAATTCAAAAGAAGGTATCTCCTACCTGGCATGGTTGCTTGTTATGTAGACTTTAGCTATGTATATGGACTCTTAAAAATTGTATTGGCCCCTTTAATCTTTGGTTATACTTTCCTTTTGGGCGTTTAAGGCCATACAGTTGGCCAAGATTAACCAATTTTTTACTTTTATTTCTTGGTCTTTTTGAGACAGGGTCTCCCTGTAGCCCCAGCTGTCCTGGAACTCACTATGTAGACCAGGCTGGCCTTGAACCCACAGAGATCTGCCATCCTCTGCCTCCAGAGTGCTGGGATTAAAGGTGTGCACCACCATAAAGTCGTTTGAGGATCTGTTCCTCAGGGGTCACATGGGCTTGGGAGAAGCCCCTGGCTCCTTTCTTTTACCAGTTCTGCCTATGTGAAGATAAGTCAAAGGTCCTTCTCAACCATGATTGGCTTCACTTGGAAGCATGGAGGAAATGATTCCTCTGTGTTAACCCTCCTCTTTGTAGACTGGACACTGGTTCAAGTCCATCTGGTGTGGTGCCCTCAGCCTCCTTGATCAAGTGGACAGATGAACCACCATAATTACAGGACATTTAGAGAGATGCTCATAGTCCCCTGGAACTAGTTGACTTAGGAGGGCAAGGAGCAGTGCCCTTTATGTCCCTCTGACCAAATTATTATAGGCCTCAAAGTATGTCTGTTAAACATCCAAGAAGGTTAGTTCCACTAGTCTTGTACTTTTAATTGCTGTGTTTCATGTAGATAAATCTTGGGCAAAGACCAATTGTTCTCAGATAAACCTTACCTAGGCATATATTTCTTGATATGATATGTATAATTTGTCAGAAGGTTTTGGAGTAATATTGTTCCCTCTGGTTTTTAAAACCAGCTGTGCATTATTTATCTCTCGCATTGTTCCACTCCTGTATCATGGTTTTCCCACTTAAGGTGCCCCCATTTCCCCCCTTTCTCACCTACTAATACTCTTCTACTATGGTCCTACCTCTCTTGATCTCCCTCCTTCCCTTTATCCCCTAGGTTCCTTGTGTACTCTTCCCTTACCCCTCCCTTAACCTAACCCAATTTTTATCCATATCTCCCTTAGTAACGCCTGTTTCCTACTGTTCTTATCTTTCAGGTTTTTTTCTTTTCATTTACTTCCCTGTTTCCCTTCCATTATCCTGGTTTTTATAGTTATGTCTGGATACATACTCACTTATCAGGACTTGGTTCTAGGATCTACATATGAGGAAGAACACATTTTGATTTTTTTTCTGAGTCTGTGTTACTTCACTTAGTATAACAGTTTCTAGTTCCATCCATTTACCTGAAAATTTCATGATTTCATCTTTCTTTACTGCTGAGTAAAACTCCATCCTATAAATGAACCACATTTTCATTATCCACTCATCAGTTGAGGGACACTTAGGTTGCTTCCATCTCTTAGCTATTGTGAAAAGAGCAGCAAAAAACATGGATGTACAACTATTTCTGCAAGAGGATGAGTTCTTTGGGTATATGTCAAGGAGTGGTATAACTGGGTCAAATGATAGGTTCATTTGTAGTTTTTTAAGAGTTCTCCACACTGCTTTTGATAGGGGTTGAACAAGTTTGCATCCCCACCAGCAGTGGATGAGTGTTCCCCTTTCCCCACATCATCTCCAACATATGGTATCATTTGTTCTCTTGATCTTAGCCAGTCTGACTGGGGTAAGATGAAATCTTAAAGTGGTTTTAATTTGCATTTCCCTAATTATTAGTGATGTTGAACATCTTTTAAGATGTTTCATAGCCATCTTTACTTCTTCTTTTGAGAACTCTCTGTTCAGCTCCTTAGCCCATATTTTAATTGGGTTACTTCTTGTCTTGATTCTGTTTTTTTGAGTTCATTATGTATTCTGGATATTAAACCTCAGTCAGATGTGTCACTTGTGAAAATTTTCTCCCATTTTGTGGATATTCTTTTTGCTTCACTGGTTGCCTCCTTTGACATACAGAAGCTTTTTAGTTTAATGAGGCCCCATTTGTTAATTCTTGCCCTTGTTTCCTGAGCAATTGATATCTGGTTTAGAAAATCCTTTCCTACACCTATAGCTTTTAAGTTTTTCCCAATGTTTTCTTCTAACAGTTTCAGAGTTTCAGGCTTTACATTGAGGTCTTTTTCCATTTGGAATTGCCTTTTGTGTAGGGTAAAAAGTAGGGGTTTAATTTCATTCTTTTACAGGTGGAGATACAATTTTGCCAGCACTATTTTCTGAACATGCTGTCTTTCCTCCAGTGAATATTCTTGGCCCCCTTGACAAATATCAGGTGGCTGAAATTGCATTTACTCGTATTTGGGTCTTCGAATTTGTTCCATTGATTTACGGGTCTATTTTTGTGCCACTACCATGCCGTTTTTGTGACTATAACTCCATAATACAGCTTAAAATCTGGTATAGCAATCCACCTGACATTGCTCTTAGTGCTCAGGGTTGCTTTGGCTATCCGAGGTCTTTTGTGCTTCCATATGAATCTTAGGATGGTTTCTTCCAATTCTGTGAAAAATGTCATGGGGATTTTTGATTGGCATTGCATTGAATATATAAATGACCTTTGGTATGATGGTCATTTTCACAATATTAATTCATCCAATCCATGAGCATGAGAGGTCCTTCCATTTTCTGATGTCTTCCTCAATCTCTTTCTTTAAAGATTTAAAAATTTCATTGTAGAGCTCTTTAATGTCTTTGGTAAGGTTTATTCCAAGATTTTTTTTTGCAGCTATTGTGAAGGGGACTGTTTCCATATGCTCTTTCTCTGATTGCTTGTTATTGGTATATAGAAAGGCTACAGACTTTTGTAGGTTAATTTTGTAACCTGCCACTTTAC